ATCAGTTAACCAGACATTATTGCTATCTTAGACTATCAGTTAACCAAACATTATAATTGCTATCTTAAGTTAGTAAGTCATTTAACCAGACTTAATTGCTGTGTAAGTCAATCAGATAACAAGATATTATTGCTGTCTAAGTCAAACAGTAAAGTTCCAAACACTTTGCTATCTTCACAAGCATACTATTGTGTAAGTTTAAATTCGCAGTCTATAAAACGTTACAAATAAACAAGCTGACAGATAATGTCCAGGCAACGTCTCAGTTCTGCCATAACTTTTTCAATGATTTGAGTAACCTTTAATAAACCATCTGTTGTAATTTCAGCAAAGAAGATTCAAGACAAGATTAAARAGGAAGGAACAGCAGATGGTGCATTACCATTCAATAATTCTGTTGCAAAAGGTACATAATTTTAAAATATTTACTATCTTAAGTAATAGTCAAAATAAATTAATGGTGAAATATTTTATCAGCCATCAAAGAATACATCCCTAGTTTGAGTAAAAAAAGGGATGATATGAATGAAGATAATATTCTTATGAATTAATTTTTCATTAATTTTTGTTATTACTGTAATTTACAGGTCCCATCGGGCATCAAGAAATTGTTAACAAGTTGTTTCCAAAATGAAGACAGTTATGAAAACAAAACAGTGAAAAAATCAACAACAAAACAATAGAAAAAATAAACCAACAAACAAAAACTACATACGCATGCTATTAAAGCATCCAGCTTGTATTTAGTTTCTCAAAGAGTTCAGTATTACATAATTCAGCAAAACCTGACATTTAGTCAACATTATAGTCTAAATAGGTGCTTCACGTTATTCATAAGTTATACATGATCTGATATYGTATCCAAGAAAATTAGTCTCTTGTTAAGAAGTGAAAGAAATTGTACAAAAGGTCTAATACTATTGTACCCTGGTCCGAGAGGTTTGATATTTTCTCTCTTTGTTATTGTTTTTGTCGGCAAGAAGCGCCTTAATCGGCGCTTCTTGCCGACAATAAACAATAGCGAAGAGAGAAAATATCAAACCTCTGGGACCAGGGTAATACTATTGAAATCATCAAGAAGGCACTATCTTTATTAGTCTCAAATATTGAAACCAGTATCATRAATGCCAAACCTTTTTTGTAATGTTTAGATTACCATTTCAGGTTTTGTACAAGAGTTTAAAATAGTCGCATTTCAAATGTTGTTTGTGTCTTTGTTTAGAACCAAAATATAGTTATATAAGCTTTTACAAAAAAACATGTTTTCCTACCTAGAACAATAAATGTACATGTAACATTACAAAACAACATTACTATATAGATATGTACTATCTGCCTGCAACCTCGCCACCTTTCTTGCCTCTCCCTCCACCACGCCCYTGTCCACCCCCTCGKCCACGCCCRCCRCCACCTCTTCCTCCTCGTCCTAGAATGGATTAAAGAAATTACTGAAGAATGAATCACATATTTTTATTTTGAAAATTAGATTACCTCCTCGACCACCTCCCCTGCCACGAGATTGCTGCTTTGCTTCCTCTTTAACCATATCAATAACCTAGTAAACCATACAAATAAGGATAAGAATTACTAATACAAGGTTAGAAGTCATTGGTTACCCTGTGTTTTTTTACCACAGGAATACCATAATATAAAGAGGGTGTACAGTGACCACTAAACAAAAACATAGAAGTAGAGTGAATGCTTTCAATCTCAACTTGCAGACACGTCCTTGTAAGCAGATGAACAGCTTTGCAAAACTCTGTCTTTTTCCTTCCGTATAAACACTGTTTTCACACTTTCACATAAATGTAGGCAAACATTTCTACCAAATGACACTTTTTCTGTTCACCTAGGGTGTCTGCTTACAAGAGATTTAGCTTTATGAGCCAAACTTTGATATTCCCAMTATACTCTTGTTAAGTTTGAACACAATAGAATACAAACTATCAGGCAAAACTATTGAGAAAAATGCATTGTCATCAAATAGCAAAAAGAACAGTGACTTAAAACGGCTTACCTCATCAGGAATTCGTAAATACTTGATATTACTACCTCGAATATAACATTCTGGGCTTTTCCAAAATCTGTCACCATCCTGATAAAACAAGCAAGCAATATAACAATGCATGATTTACACTAGCATCTACCAGAAATAGAACATAATTAAGACATTTATTCCACAAATGAACTCCAACAGCTTTATAAATATCTTTATAAAGACAAATGTACACAGGGAACCCAACAATAAAGATGATCAAACTTAGAAATGCATGCAGAGAACTATAAGGGTATCAAATAAATACAATAAGATATCAAATAGCAACATTATAAAATGTATTTCACCTTTAAGACCATAAAATTAATCATAAAATTTGAATATTTCTGAAAAAGTTGAATCTTTTCTGAGCATAACGCTATTAAGTCCTTCAACATTAACGTACCCTTGACGTACAAATCACTTCTCGTAGGTTAATGTTCATCCAGTTATCACAGCTGACAAGATGGCCGTTATAAGTCTCGCCATTCTTCAACTCGACAAGCTAAAAGAAACGATGTAAGCTCAGTTCATATCATAACTAAAAATCAAATTTGACAATCCAAAAATATGATCATAAATTCTCACCATAGGATGGTTCTGAGCCGTCCGTAAGAGAGAAAGTGGAAGCTAAATCGAAAATAAACACATAAATAGGTTTTAAAACATATTTAGTACAGTTATAAACAACTTTTGAAACACATTTTGCTTTCAAAAAATGCTACTTACCACCATGTTGGATTTAGGAAGCCCCCGGACCCAGGCCTACGCTGGCAAGTTATCAAACAGCGTGGAACGCCTGGCAGTTGGCTACACGTGGAAGGTATTTTCTGAAAAGTTTATCAGAATCTTGCTTTATGGAGTCTTCTAAGAGAAAAGTTTGCGAGGAAGATGTGGAAACTAAGTCTAAAGATACCAATAGAAAGAAGAAAAAGTCAAATAATAACTCAGATTCGACGTTATTGARTGATTATCTGGGAGAAGAAGGGTTCCARAAGAAGTTTGCGGAAGCATTTAGGTKAGCTAAAAAWACCGAGACGATTCCTTATTTTTTCCACTAAAATCTAGATACAAAAGATATCAGAAAATACTCAATAATAGAACCAGAACTGCATACATTCTTAAACTGTTA